GCGAGTGATCATATGTAATAGTCGCCGATGGTAGTAGAATGCTAGAGTTAGAGTGACAGGAGACACTTTTCTCGGTAAAATCAACCGTCTGCGGTACTATGTTATCGGAAGACGTATCCGAATTGTCGGTGGGCGGTGATAGGATCTGCTTACGTACAGGCGTATTATCATCTTTACGGCGCGTTACTTGCTTACATGGTTGGCACTTCCATTGTCGTTTTAGTTCATGTAAATTGTCTTTATAGAAAGATGTTGACAAATTATAGCACTTGTAATGATAACATCTCTTACATGCAATACATTTAAGCTGTTCGTCACTACGAGTGATTTTATTGCATGCTAAACAATGTATTCTAATAGCATTCTCGTAGTTAGGTGTAACCGTTTGAATATAGTAATAAAAAACTTGCTTACAAGCGACAACGCAGCAAAAACAGCGCATACGCAGAGTACTTCGTCCAACTGGACGTGATTATATGAAGCGCTTTATAGATTATTTGTCTTCAAATAGGTGTATTTTACGCTAGCAGGCAGAAAGCAAGCGCTGTAGATTTTGACATCGGTTAGTAAATTACTGTAGTTAGCGCTTAAGTTGCGTTGTTGTAACTTAGCGGTCGAGTCGTGGGTTGGTGTAGGTCATGGATATATTCGATAACGTACTTAGATTTTAACTGAATATTTTCAGAAATCCTCTTGGTATATCAATTGTTTTGTTAATTCACTATCACAGAACAATAAAACACTACATCGGTAATAGAATCAATAAGTTATTTACTACTGTACGGCACTTTTGACTATGTTTTTGATAAAAACACGAAGATCAAATCTTACTGTGACAGCGTAGATTATTACAATTCCCGAGCGAGAGCTCGCCCTATTTGATAAAAAGAAGATTTAGACTTTCACTCATAGCAGCCTCACCATAAACATCTGAGAGCATTTGGTGAGCCTCAGCCACAGTTTTTTCTCTCACAAATAACGAGAATTCGGTTCATAAACTGACTTTTTTAATCGGGAATAACTATATGATGTTAACACAAATCAACTACTGGTGCCATCAGGTTATGTTCACAAGATACTAAAGAGTATTGCAAGTCGTCCATAATGTATGTATTCGACTTGTAGCTAACGCCATCTATAGAAACATGGCGGGAGCAAAGTTGTATACTTTATGCGAATACTACAGTAATTATTAAATGAAACTAGTTTTACGGATTTTGTTCTTACTACACTTTACGGCAACCTTGGTCAGGGAGCGGACTGAGGTGTTTGACGTTCACATGTCATAGTTAAAGAAGGCTACCTTAAAAATTTACGGGAATCGAATAGCTTACAATATCTTAAAATCATGCGGTAGTATTGGCACTTGGGTTGGGCCCCTATCCATATTCTCTATTGTATAATTTCAATAACCTTGCGAATCATTCTGGGTAGGAGTTGGTGTCCTTTATCAAATAATTGTGGTCTAACAAACCAGGTATAATGGTTGGTACTTGGTATGACCCTGAACATGTTGACATACTTCAGACTTGCCGAAGCGTTTTATTTTTATTTATTTATGTATCTTATTGTTTATTTCATTTAAGAGTGACCACATTGACTAACAAGTCTTAAGTTGTAGAAGGCTATTGACAAACGGTAAGAACTAGCTAATCTTCGGCGTTTTATAGCATGTTATTACGTAAACCCGCTTCAAGATGTAGCATATTCTGTGAATACTCTAATATGTGATATACACCAGGCACAGAATTCTCCAAATCGATTAACTCACTTTTGAATTAGCTTAACCATTTTTTCATTTTTTGTGACATAGTTAACCACGGCTACCTACAGATTAAAATTATTAATTTTTGTTCCGATCTACGCAGTATGAACATATAGAAACTTGAATTCATGCAGTTGTATGTTTAGTATGGGATTTAATTTTATTAATTGTAGGATCCCAAGCAGATGGTATCCAATATCAAACCTCTCAGTCAACATCAGAACGAAACGTAACCGTATGAAGAAATTATCTGTTTATTGAAAAACAATTCCTATGCGGAAAGTAGATTTGGAGGCGATATGATAAGACATTTCGTCTATGTTGCGTTGGAGTTCAGTGCCTAAACCGAATATACCCAATGACGAATTTGTGGCGTTAAATAACCTACTCAATAAACTAGTACTCGCGATTCTCCGCCCAGATAAGAAAAAACCACGTTAGTCATGGATACGTCTGATTATAATTCTAAAATAAAAGAAATTTTGTCATATGTAAGACCTTATAAAAGGATTAAAAACGACTTACCACACACACTTAAAAACAACTGGTGACCTCATAAAGAAACACTTAAAAAAATTATCTATAATTATCGAAAAATCGATAGTATCTACCTGTGCCAAACCACTGAAGTTATATGCGTTATCAAAACTACACAAACCCAATGCTCAACTACGTTTCCTCAATCCACCAACTTACAGATTGGCTCAACGCTTAGCGAAAATACTCTCACCGCTCAGGGGACATACAAGAGCACACACAAAGGATTCCTTCCATTTTGTCAGCAAGATTAAAGACCTACATCTACCAGACAATGAAACTACGGTCAGTTTTGCTGTGCAGCTGCAGTTGACATAATATGTTGAAGACTGCATCTCAATTGTAACAAGAAGGATGTAAAAAAACAACATGCCCGTAGCATATGCAGTATTACTCAGACACTGCCTTACATCTGGCTACCTATTGTGGAAGGAGAAGTTCTACAAGCAAGTAGATGGTGTGGCGATGGGCTCACCTGTATCTCCCATTGTCGCCGACATATTCATGGAAGACTTTGAGCAGAAAGCACTGCTTACTTCTCCCGTAAATCCAAGAGGTACCGGTAAAGTAACTGCATTTCAGACCATCTTAACTCCATAAATTCTCAAATTCAGTTCACTTTGTAATTCGAAATCTTGATAACACCTTGAGCCACACTATGTACAGAAAAAAGATCCATACAAATAGATATTTAAATGATGATTCTCACCACCATCCGTCACAGTTAGCTTGATTAGATTTACCGTGGGTAAATCTTTGTTTCAGAAAGCACAAGTGATCTGTGACAGTAAACACCTGACCGCTGAGCTCCAGCACGTCAAGCAAGTATTGCAGACAAGCTTGGGGTCCCGTGCTTACGTCACAGTAATCTAGTAAAACCGGCAGCAGTCAAACGTGTGCCTGCTATTTGCTATTTGTGCATGATAGTACATACTCGTACATACGAGTAGTCCTACTACATGTAGGAGCCACAGATAAGATTGGCTTTAAATCGGGTTCCAAAAGAACGTACTGCATGCCGTCAAAATATTATTCAGTTCTTACTATCTGTCAAGTGTCGTATCCCTCTACAAGACGCAGCACACAAGCTTGATTATGTAAAAAAAAAATCTAAAAGGACATATAGCTGACGTGAAGGACAAGTCTGCAGCTTAAAGTTAAAGTTATAGTTACAGCCTATATACGTCCCACTGCTGGACACAGATCTCCTCTCATTTCTGAGAGAGTTCAAGTCTGTAGTACGTCAACACATTCGGGATCATCCCAACCATTACACATGACATGATAGACCACAAATCCTCGCAAAAGTACACCGAGTCCGATTAAAGATGATACGTGAGGCTATTAAAATTAAAAAACATCCTAATTTCAATAGCGATGGCGAGGTATAATTAATGCTGGATAATTAATAAATCCAACATATGACATACTACTGTAAATTTGCTTTACATACATTGGAGCAAAAATTAATTCTTAAAACTATCTTCAGCCTTCTTTAATTATGACATCAGGGCGTTAAACTGAGGTCTTGAGTCTTGAGGATGGTCGTTCATTACAGGCTATCAAAGTCTACTAAAGAATATAAGCAGTAAATAGCCTCGTGTTTGCCATAATTGCCACGCTTTGTAGATGGCACCTGCAGTATTTGTTATTCATTTTGTTTGTTGCTCGAATATAATAGCGATGGCGAGGTAATGCTATCTACTAGAGCATAATTAATGCTGGATAATTAATAAATCCAACATATGACATACTACTGTAAATTTGCTTTACATACATTGGAGCAAAAATTAATTCTTAAAACTATCTTCAGCCTTCTTTAATTATGACATCAGGGCGTTAAACTGAGGTCTTGAGTCTTGAGGATTGTCGTTCATTAGGCTATCAAAGTCTACTAAAGAATATAAGCAGTAAATAGCCTCGTGTTTGCCATAATGGCCACGCTTTGTAGATGGCACCTGCAGTATTTGTTATTCATTTTGTTTGTTGCTCGAATATAATAGCGATGGCGAGGTAATGCCATCTACTAGAGCATAATTAATGCTGGATAATTAATAAATCCAACATATGACATACTACTGTAAATTTGCTTTACATACATTGGAGCAAAAATTAATTCTTAAAACTATCTTCAGCCTTCTTTAATTATGACATCAGGGCGTTAAACTGAGGTCTTGAGTCTTGAGGATGGTCGTTCATTACAGGCTATCAAAGTCTACTAAAGAATATAAGCAGTAAATAGCCTCGTGTTTGCCATAATTGCCACGCTTTGTAGATGGCACCTGCAGTATTTGTTATTCATTTTGTTTGTTGCTCGAATATAATAGCGATGGCGAGGTAATGCCATCTACTAGAGCATAATTAATGCTGGATAATTAATAAATCCAACATATGACATACTACTGTAAATTTGCTTTACATACATTGGACCAAAAATTAATTCTTAAAACTATCTTCAGCCTTCTTTAATTATGACATCAGGGCGTTAAACTGAGGTCTTGAGTCTTGAGGATTGTCGTTCATTACAGGCCATCAAAGTCTACTAAAGAATATAAGCAGTAAATAGCCTCGTGTTTGCCATAATTGCCACGCTTTGTAGATGGCACCTGCAGCATTTGTTATTCATTTTGTTTGTTGCTCGAGTATAATAGGAACACTAGTCTCAACTCTTGTAGATTTTAAAATCTGATCATCTTACCATTGTAACTCAGGATACGAAAAGGGGCGCGCAGTATCATGGCACGGCCCGCTGCCAGTGCGTAGCTTCGAAGTGCGCTCGAGTTGAAGAACGAGGGGTCGCGCGCCTCGCATGCCGAGCGGAGTACGAGAAGCATGGGAATAACGGGGTCGATGGTGCCAGTGGGGATGGCAGCTTGCGCGGTCGCTGCTTGCGGGGCGGCGGATGTGGCAGGGATGGAGGAACCTGTTGGAGCAGCGGGGTTGGAAGGGTTTGCGGGAGTGTAGGGGGCAGCGGGGGCGGCTGAGGCCGCTGCCAGCAGCAGCAGCAGGCGGCGCATGGCTCACGCGCCGCAAGCCACGCCGCCGCGCGCGCGCCTCGCCGCACAGATGACGTGCTTCGGCTCGCCGCACAAGATCAAGCGACCGCCTGCTTCGGCACTAATTGACACATAGTTGCGCATTGTAACAAAACACAGCCTTATCGTATTTACCGCTCTATTCGCTCTTTGCTTAAATATTGTATTTGACCACTCAGCTGTTATGATTTTTGACTCGTGATAATTATAACTTATATTACTTCTCCGACATATGCGTTTAGTTGGGTTTGATATTTTTGCATGATTTTCTTGAACAATTATCTAATGTTTATGCGAGACCACTACTATTTGTGCTTTTCCTGAGATACTTCGCTGATATGTAAACATACGTCAGTTTGTACAAGGTGCGCGGCGAGTGGAGACATGCGGGCGGTGAGCTCGCGCGCGACTGGAAGCGCGGACTGCGGCTGCCGGAGCAGGAGCTGCGGCGCCCGCCCGCCCGCGCCCTAACCCGCGGCCCGCCCTCGCCCACCCGCCCAGCCTGTACGTCGCCTCGCTCGCAGCACGCACGCGCGCTGCTTCTCGACCCCAGCTCGCTCCTCGCAGCGCCGAACCATTAACATTTACTCTTTTTTAACCGTATGCGTTACGAAACACTGTTGTAATTATAAAATTTAAAAGAGCTATTTTGTACCGGAAGACAGGAAATAAAGAAGTATTTGTTCGTTATTACGATTTCTGTGGTTATTTCCCTTTGCTTTTAATGCACTGTGCAAAATTTTATAAAACGATACAATCTACTCACTTCTTTTTATAAGTAGCTTCAGAAAATTTCGAAATTTCACTTGTGTCCTAACTAATAAAAAACATAAGTTAAAGTTAAGAATTTTAAAATGCATTGTACCGAATAAAATCAAAATACATTGTAAAATAATATTAAGCTATCAATTCCGTGGTAGGTTCAAGCTATCAATTCAGTGGTAGGTTCAAGCTATCAATTCCGTGGTAGGTTCAAGCTATCAAAAACAAGAGGCAACAGAGGGAAACAAACCTGGAGCTGGGCAGCAGCGTCGTTCCAGTATCAACTAATAAATAAAAAACACTGCAGTTGCCAAGCGTGGAAACTAGTGGGCACGTGTTCCCTATGAGACATTTTGAAATGAAATAAATATATGGTAAATTTGAGGATTAATGTTAAGTACTATGTTAGACGAAAACACGATTCCGTAAAATTTTCTAGATAGAAAAAAAAATCCAAAGTTACCTCCAAAATAAACAATAAACCACTTTTATCCTAAAAATACTTTAAAGATCATGAAACTTTGCATACTAACTGAACTAACTATAAAGCAGTGCTTATGTTATTTACTTTTTTTAAATACCATTATTTTTATTGTAAAAAGAAATTACCTTAATTATCGGCCTCTTGAAGCGTGATTCCTGCCGCCCGGTCAGTTTCGCTTCGGCCTTTGAAGGGGATGGTTGTGTCGCTTACGATCAGAATACACATTACGCAACAGGACGACGTAAAATTAAAATGGGAAATAACCGTAATAAAAATATGATGCATAAATATGATAAACCTATTGAAATAAGTGTCTAACGACCTATCTACTTACAGTATTAGTGATTACAAACATGTCGGTACATAGCATACGACGCGCGGGGAAGTGGGGGCGAAATTAGAATTTGAGCTGACTTACTATATCCCCTTAAGATAGCAAGTTGACTCTACTAGAACAAACAGGATCTGAAAATGCATTCATTTTCACTTTATTTCGATGTATTCATTTTGAACATTAAACATAAAAACATACCTACTAAACATAATATACTTGTACTGTAACTAAAAGTACTGTAAAGGTTTAATAATGCATTAAGGTCTTAAAAATGCATTTAATTTACTAAAACATAATTGAAAAAAATATTAAAAATGTTCAAAATACTAAAAACTCACGTGTCACTCAGTGTGTTCATGTAAATTCAAATTCACAATAATAATTTAATTTGTAGAATCTCCATACAAAGTTTTAAGCAAATCCAAGGGTAGTTTTCCTATACATTATTCGAGATTTTCCGGAGAGGCATCGTGATTGTCTACCGAAGTACTGTTGTAATATGCAATAGTTTTAAATAATGTAGACATTTGATAGTAGGGTCTATGGAACAAAAGTAATAATGTAGAAGGTCATAAAGATGAACAAGCATTATAGTTACAGAGTTGGGGCTTGAACTCCCAAAAATAAAAGACATATAAATAGAAAAGAGAACCAAATTCTTTAACATACGAGTATGTTCATAAAATTGCTTCCATTTCCGTCAAGCAATTATGCTAGTGACCTGGTATTCGTTAACCTTCTCTTTTCTTTTCTAGAACTACTTAAAGGAAATAGAAACATATTTTTATATAAATCAACAAATTATTAAATTATGTTATATTAATGTTGTTATGAAAATTAACGAATAATATTTTCTTATTGTAATGAGAAAGGATATCATGGACTAGACAGGCGTGTTCGCCGCTCGCGTTTCAAACTTTTTCTCCCTAGTTTTCGATCTCCCTAAACTTTAATTTCCTCCCCTTGTTTTAATTTTCTGTACATTGTTTATTTACTTATCAACTTAAATAGTTCTACCAACATTTGTTTTATGAAGATAAAGAAACAAAAAAAAACAAAAAGAAAAAATATAAAGAAAGAAACACATTTTCTTTATGAAGATAAAGTGACATACTTATAGTTCACAGTGGCTTCTGAAGTTTATAACACCTGCAGCCAATTCCAAACAAGCAATACTAGATAAATACATTATCACATCTGAGCACTGGGATGTAATGCCAAAATAAAAGACAAATAAAAACTGTATATCCCAATTAAAAGACAGACTGTGGTAAAAAGATAAGACTACAACTTTTAGCGAGCAATTAGCGTTGGTCCAGTAGTTTCCGATTGCATTTGATGTTAGCATTTAAGGAGACGGAGTGTAGACTAATCATATCACTAAGCTGTTCATTGTATTATACAACCGGGATAAAAGTAAAGTAGTAAAGTTACAGCCTATATACGTCCCACTGCTGGGCACAGGCCTCCCCTCATTTCTGAGAGGGTTTTAGGGCAAGGAGGTGTCCGCCGCGCTGCCCCAATGCGTGTTGGCGAACTTCACATGTCTTCGAAAATTTTTTTTTCTTATTCTTCAGACATGCAGGTTTCCTCACGATGTTTTCCTTCACCGCCGAGCACGTGGTATATCAGCACTTAAAATTGTAATTAACAATTTCATTGGTGCCGGCGGGGATCGAACCCGGGTTTCTCGCGTTCTGTTGTGTTTACAGCGAGCGCTAACCATCTGAGCTACCACGGCTCTCCCGGGGCTCTATCTCAACCAGGGTATTAATGCATAATAATAATGACATCTTCATTACGGACCAAAATTAATACATAGCAGTGTTAGTAACAAATGACCTATAAACTAATTTAATTAATGCATAATAATAATGATATCTTCATTATGGACCAAAATTAATACATAGCAGTGTTAGAAACAAATGACCTATAAACTAGTGGTAGTAAACATTAAAGTGCGGATAAACTTTTTCAAAATCGGACAATTATAGTTCTCCGCTACGGTTTTTACAATGCTGTTGTGACTGACTGTCACTGTTCTTAGCAGCGAAGCAGTTTTCTTGCGTATTATCGCATGAAAGCCGTCCGTGCGGGCTTGCGCAAACATCTCCGACGCACTAGAGTACCGAGGCAGTCCCAACAACATTCTAAAAGCGTATATTGGACATGCAGGACATAAGCGACCTTTTAGTGTAATTGAGCCATAGGTTGCTCGTACACAGACTCTGGCAGTGTACCATAAATAGAGTAATTTTAACTAAGCCCGTACATCGTGCAAATCTATGAGCCAGCATGTTACTCCTGGTCGCTATTGTATAATTTATCCCGAGAACAATTACTCAACCGACAACGAAAAATTTTTAAGAAACGCGTAGTCCAAATAAATGTGTACAATCAAATTTATTTTATAATTATTTTGTGGACCGTCCGTGAATAATATAATACATTTGTTGAATGAATGACAATGTATAAAAATATTTGTTCATTACAGCCTATAAAAGTTCGCTATTGAGCATAGGGCTCCCCCTGAAATTGCCTCATAGAGAAGATTCTACGGCAGTTGGCACGCTTGGCATCAGGAAGATGCTGCTATTCATCTCCTGTCTCAGTTTCCCTCTATATATATTGAGTGAGAATATCTTACAACTACAGTACACTGTTTAAAATATTGTATAAGAATTAAATTATTGTAGTCTACTGTTATAGGAAACAAATTTTCGTAGCTTTACCTACTGCGAATGTAAAATGCAACATAATATATTAATTTTGTACGAACACATTAGTGTGGACTGTGGAGGCTAGAGTACACTACAATATTCTTAGGCGCTACGGGTTAAACTTTTATACAACATGGCACAAAAACAATGACAATCTTCAATATTTTGTAATTTTTTTATTGAATGGTACTGACACTTCACATACAGCTTCATAATTATTCCGATGTCATGTTTTTTATTTGTAACCTTACCTTTTGATACTTAAAAATATAAAATTAACCATGATTTAATTAAACTTTATGTTTTTTACTAAACTCACAATTAATTATTGGATTTGTAACTGCAACGAGTTGCATAGTTGTTTAGGATTACATTTAATAAAAAACACTGAAACACTTAGAAATTTGTGATCATAGTACCTAAATATGTGATCTATGCTGTTGCATTTTAGCATTATCAAAAGTACACCTGGATTTTTTTCCTAGAACTAGTACAACATAGCTTATTGCCCCACACACGCTTAACGTTGAGTTTCGGGACAATCTGTATAGTATTACTACTATTGTGCATACTTTCCACATTTCCAAAAATAGGGGCTTTGTTAGCAGCCGTTCTGAATCGAACAAATGTTGTTTAATACGACCAACATTTTTGAAATCCTAGCCTAGACCTTTTGACAGAA